TGATCCATGCCTCAACTTGATCAAGCACCGAAGATTTCGGTACCTTCTCAGATATTTTACAAATTTATATTGCATAAGATTGAATCGTAGATGTAGGTCGGTAGCCGGTAGGTTCGACGTGGGTGCTTTGTTTACTCACTCGAATTGACTGCCGTGTCGGTCTGTGGTTCAAGCCCGAGGTTGAACGATCGATTTTCACTTGCTATCGTTCAACCCATGTTAGGAATCACACGTTAAACGGTAAGACCTCATTAGTCCTTAGCTCGCACAAGTTTCAACTTCTGAGGGTTGTCGTTCGGAGGGGCGCGACAGCTGGTCGGAAAAAACAGATTTAATTTTTCTCAGTGTATCCGCCGCTCCAGGATAGTCAACTATAAAAGTAGATATCCATTGAAAATCATCCAGGAAACAGCAATTGATGTAAACTTATCCTTGAGAGCAATGCTAGTGTTGCTATTAATTCGAGAAATAATGAATGTCATTGATTTTTTTCAATTTTATCTTGTATAATAATAAATGAATAGATGAAAATCATTTATCTCAGTGTGTTCTCTCCAACAGTCGCCTGCACTGACGCAGACCTCTATCAAGACCCTTCAAAGAGCAGCAAAAGCACAAAAGCAGCAAAAGAAACAAAAGCACGAACGACAAAACTCTCAAAATGTCCATACCAATTCAGCGTTGTGGTATAATTAATTTACTTAAGCGTTTAGTTATAATGAAATAAAACGTAGCGTGAGAAATAGCAATTAACTACTAATAATTCAATACTTTATAACGCAGCTCATCGATACAGAGAGACTAGAAGGACAGAAGATAAATTAGACCCGGTCAAAAATTATGTACCAATGAAAATGAAATCTTATACTATTAGGGTTAATAATTTATTTGGATGAGTAGTTTAAGGTGCATTGTGTTATTTATAGCACTATGACTGTGAGTGGTCGTTACTTAAAATTTCAGGTGTGGGATACTTGGTGTATAAGGAGAATAAAACGCAAATTTTTATATGTTTATTATTTTTTATTATGATATATAGCTAAGAAAAAAGAGAAGATACATATCCACTGAGTCCTGGTGGGTATTGATTCTCAGAAGTTTTCTTTCGAATGAACGACGTTGGTTCCATACCTTCATCGAAGCTGGGGAGTAGAAATTATTTTCTGCAAAATGCATATTTATTGCTCAACTGGGATTTTCATTTCCAGTTCAAAATCAGTGGTACCTTTGGTGTTTTTGAGTCCAACCGCCATAGCATTAGTAATAAACAGTATCAGTAAAAAAAAATTAATGAAAATTCGTATGATTCAAATTTTTCATTTGAGGTATCAATCAATATGAAGACTACTTCGTAGCATAGTCCGAACTGATAATCAAGCTGTAATTATTAGTTATTCATTATACAAGGGGAAAAAGTATTAGATTTCAGCTCAAGAGCTAAAATCCGTGTATAATACACAATTTTTTTCTGTAACGGGAAGAACGACGATTTAATATTGAGAAAAACATATTATTACATTTGAATTGAAGGAGTTATATTTTTGGGAGTGATTAATTTTTGGGAAAAATATTTTTTGGCTTTCTACTACTCCATCTTGAAACAAAAAAAAAGGATGAGGAAATCTTCCAGAGAAAGGAAGTAATCAATTTGAAAATAAGTAACTCTATACATGGATGTGTAGATCATGCAAAGAAGTAACTTTCAGACACAAACTGAAAGAAAGTCCTCCTGAAACAGCTACTTCCATATAAACATTGAATTAAATTCTTATAATGGTACTTAAAACTGTGAAATAAGTATTTTTTATGTTGAACGGTTTTATTGAAAAAAAAAAGATGATAATGATGCAGATAATATACTAAAAACTAAAAAATGATTCGTAATGTCCTAGGTAGCAGTCATCACACCACTATCCTCAACAATCTACGTTATTGATCAGATCAAAATTATTAAAATCGTAACCTGAATAAATATGTAAATACTACGCACAACGATTTTATTGTTTTTATTTGTTCTATGACTTTTTAATATAGGTATTCCAGCATTGTGCATTGTTAGATATACTGAGGTTCTAGTTGAAAAAAGCATTTTCCCCCTCAAAATAGCTCTAGGGGAGGTTTAGCAAATCCTTTATCAGTGCTGGTTATTTATCAAAATACTTTTTTCTTGGGATCTCAAGTTACCTTCCGCCAAATCGCAAATGAGTATTTTTGTGACAGACTAGTCTGTTTCGTCCAAAAGTTTACGAAAAGCACTGCAGCACTGCAGAAAAGCTACAGCTTTTCGTTTCTTAATTTATTTCGTCTTGTGACTGCACACAGGATGGAAATAGGCTACAAATTAAACGAAAAAAACTTAAACGCAAGCAACGAAAATGTATTTGACTGAAGTGTCATTTCAAATAACTCGTTTTTCTATGTGAAAGGTAAATGAAAAGTGATCTTAAGTTGAGCGCGAAAAACAAACGCAGTTTCGCAAGGCTCCATTCTTGGACCTGTGCTGTTCTCAATCTACATCTCCGATTTTTATATGAAGATGAAAACCAAAACTTTTCTTTCCCATAAATTATCACGTTTCACTATATTT